GATTCTGCCTTTTAACCTGCTGTCACTGAGCAAATGAATACCTGTTGCAAAGGACTGACTGTCAGAGAGTTACACATACCTTGCACAATGGCAGCCAGAAAAAAAACTGCGTTTATAAACAGAGTAAACGTATGAAACTAAAAGAGAGGAATATTATGAATCATAATAAATACTCAGATCCCCCTCTATACTTTCTATAAATATTTATCTTAGAAACAATTGGCTAATGGTGAACCAGCAATTAGCATGCAAAGTAGAGCTCTCATACTATGAAGTATAGGTTTCCAGTGTGTATGCTGTAGGAGCTATTTGGCGCAGTGAAAAGGAAGGCTGTGTGTTTAACAAATGGACTCATAATAAGCTCAGTTGAAAAGCTTATTTAAGGCTTCAGCCTTTCATTCCAGACCCCTCCAGCTGTCAAAATTCTCACATCAGCAGTAGGCTAATGTTTATTATGTTCTGGGTGATAAATCAGGCCCTAAAAGAGAATTTTTGCATTTGATATTCATTATCTTTTATCCAGAGAGCAGGAATTAGGTAAGGAATTAGCACAAAAAGATTTTCCACAGTGAAAAGCTGCCTGCAAAGAGGCTGTTAAAGGTGTTTAGCCGAACTGTGTTCAAGGAATCCGATCTCACATTGCTTAATGCTTCTGGGATGAATAAAATGTTATATCTTAGTTTCTACGATTGACTGTTCTCGCTGTTTGTAGGCACATGCACACTAGAATATTAATTAGGTCTCAGTTCAACTAGACTATGTCTCAATTCCACGTTCCACATAAGCATACACCGAGTGCTGGCTTTTGCAGCAAGAACAGATAATATATATTTCTTTATGCTGAACTTTGTAGGTTAAAAGAACCAGGATTTGTCAAAATACATTTCATTTGAAGATTTGTCTCATCTGAAGGTCTCTCCCACACGAAAAGATTCAAGGATGTATAAATTTACAAATCAATGAATTGTACTTTCAGTATACAATTAAGCAGTGGAAATTGAGGTCACTGAACAGCATCAGAAATGGTCAGTATGCAGCTCTGAAATGTGATGACAGCTCAGTTTCTTTTCTCTCATCATCTTCTAACAACAGTTTTATAGAGCGCAACTGAATTCAATCCTGTGCTGATCCACATACTATTCTAGTTTTAATACTTGAGGGTTTACTGCTTTAGTCACAGCTCCTGCTCCCTGCAGATTTAAATACATCAAAAGATAAAATGAAGTGCACAACATTGCACCAGCACATGCCCCAGTCTGCTAGTCTTCTAAGAAGCAAAGCTACAACACCTTAAGCATCCTTAAAGTTCCCCATCACGTTGTTACCCATCCTACCCACCCTGACACTGGGGACAGACCTGCTTGGAGCAGCGGCTTGGAGCTGAGAACCAGAGCTCTGCTCGGCCCATGCTTCTGTGATACCTCAGTAACACACACCAGGACATCAGAGAGAGGTGAAAAAGGTCCATATGTCTGCTCTGTCCTGCTAGCTTGGGACTACTGTCCCTGCCATGGTCCTCCACCTTCTAGGCCTTCCCTGGCAGCTGAAGGCTCACCTCCCTTCATCATGTACTGCTTCTGTGGGCTCTCCCTTTGCTCCTTGACCTTGATGGGCATTAGAAGTCTCAGCAGCAATCTGCTGTCCATGGCTCCAGTTTGTGAAAACCTGCTCTGAATGCACAGAAACAATCATGGATTAGAATAGCTTTTTAAAGAAATAAACCGTGAGGTCAGCAGAATGTAAGCGAAGGTTAACTTGCTGCAGTGATACATCAATCACTTGAAAAATGAAATGGAGCCTAGGATTAGGTGTACATGACTTTAGAAATAAAGATGTTTTTTAAACACTAAGCAAAGTGATCAGATAAATACAGTAGGCTCACAAGGAAGTGTAAAACAGGGAGAAAACTGACATCTCTCTTCCTTCCGGCCCAAACAGTGGCACGCTGGTGCAGTTTTACTCAGAGTGGAATTGAATGTATCTGTGGCTCTAGTCATGTCTGAAACACGGTGAGGCTCTAGTTATTTCAAGTTGCTGGCAGCTTGCACAGATTAGTAGCTAATTTTTGCTTTTCATTTAAACTAAATCTGCTGCTCTGTATTTCAAGAGATGCTGGTTTAAGAGGGAAGCCAGGTTAGTTGCTGTGCTCTCCAGTGCACTTGCTCCTCCCTATGTAAGAAAGTGATTATCCTTAAGGTGCTATCAGATACCCATTGACACCTGACACAGCCCACGAAAACCAGCTTCTAAGAAGTTATTTCACATACCTTCATAATGCACTGTGTATTTGTCAGCTAGAAAGAACGACAAACTCCACTTTGCTGAACAAGCATTAGTCCCAACAATGTGAGAATACACCAAGGGGAGCACACATGTCCTTACTGGTGGCTGCAGAGAGCTCACAGCTCGTTAACAGCTAAACAGTTTTCATAATCCTTAAAATCACTGTGGATTACAAATGCTTTTCTTTCGCTAAAGCCAGGAGTGACCTACAGAATGCCAGCCTCTCCAGGTTTCTAAAAATAGCCCAAACACAAGCTGGGACACAGAGATTATATTACAGGGCTTCTTTCAAGGTCGCTTGCAAGATCCACGCTTGCAATGGCTTTAGTAGCTGTGTTTCAGTTTTGTCCCTGGCAGCGTTGGGAGTGTGCTTTGCAAAAAACCATCAGCATCCATGCATGCCTGTCAGCCCCGAGCAGTAATGAATTACTTTCCCGCAAAAAGGCATTGTATTCTTTTTCTCACCTCAGATCAGGATCCTGAAGGGAAGGGAAGCAGTTTCTGCAACAGAATTGACTTTGTTCATGGAGGGCTTTGTAAAATACAGCCCATTCCAGAGGACTTCCCTGTCTAAATACTAGTGCTACCATTTTATGAGAAGACTCAAAAAGCAGTATGCACTACATGCAGCCTTTTTTCTCGTAGGGGATGAGGAAAAACAATAAACTGCACATTCTTGAAGGAGACCCATGAACACAGCAACAAGCAAAACACAAACCTCCACCTTCCTAAGACAACTGTGTGTGTGCCAGCGGCGAGATACAGAAATTCTGATGAAAGGAAGAATTCTTCAGGAAAGCAAATCAGGTACTTGGTAATTACCGATTATTAATACACCATCACTTGGTAATTACCAAGTATTAATATACCATTATGTATTATGTAAAATATGTAATACAATCATATGTAATACAATACCAAAGGCTACAGCTAGAGGGCAGGGTTATATTACCCATCTGTTGAAGAAATCTGATTAAGACTTACCACTGTAGACTTGACTCAGTTTCTCCTCATCGAGGCTCTTCCAGTCCCTATGGTCTGCATTCATCTTTTATTGAGAGTAGATAATGTTAGCTGGAACCAGTTATATTTAAATGTCTTTCTCTTGTGAGGAAGGAGGTTTGTGTGGGAAAAAAGTTAATCAATTAAAACAGCGATCTGACTTCTTAACTCTATGCATCATTGCAGCACCTGACCAGCAATGTCTCTCCCCCCCAGTAAAATTAACTGTACACTTACTGACATTCCCACATTTTCTAAAATGTAATTAATGTAATGTAATGTAATTAAAGCCATTGGCCAAGATTTAAATCTGATTTTAACTTGATATACTCAAATCTGAAGGGTGCATGAGAAGTAGCTTATAAAACCCACTTCTCCCTCCTCCACAAAGATGATAAGTATTCAGAATAAAGTCATTCCAAAGGGACAAAAATGTACATCCAGTCCATCCCCTTCACCTTTGTATGAAACAGATTGCTCTGAAAAATTTGTTAAACAGCCAGGAGCATGTGATGGTCATATTACCACAAATACAAGTGCAAGACTCATGTTTCAAGACATCTGATGACAAAATGGTAAACCACACTATTGAAACTAGAAGGAAATAATTACTAGCAACATTTGCAATACTGCTGGCCATGAAGCTTGGGATAATTATGAACAACTCAATCAACAGCATGACAGACATCACACACGTGTATTTTCCCCTAATTTTAATGAAATAAGATTTTTGTTTTTAATGATGTTGTACAAAAAGGAAGCTCAGGGGGGACCTTACCACTCTCTACAACTGTGTGAAAGGAGGTTATAGTGAGGTGGGTGTTGGTCTCTTCTCCCAAGTAACAAGTGATAGAACAAGGAGAAATGGACTCAAGTTGCACCAGGGGAGATTTAGACTGGATATGAGGAAAAATTTTTTCCATGGAAAGGATTGTCAAGCACTGGAACAGGCTGTCAAGGGAAGTGATGTAGGCACCTGAAGGTGACTTAAAGGTATTTAAAAGATGTGGAGATGTGATTTAGGGATGCACTTAGCAGTGTTAGATTTAGGGTTGCACTTGATCTTCAAGGTCTTTTCCAGCCTAAATGACTCTATGATTATGTGAATGAAGCATCTAAAGATGTAATAGTCCCAGGGCAGTGAAACTATCGTATCTGCACTGTATCACATATATTTGCTCTATTATATACACACTACGTATTTACTAAATACAGGATACCCAAAGTATCAGAAGGCTTCCAGAAGCACTGCAGCTATTTCTTCAAACTCTTTTGTGAATCATTTATGGCATGCACTATGTAATGTTAATTGCAGTTTTATAAGAAGCTTGCCACCTCTTCTGATTACAATGCTTTTTTTTTTTTCCTGAAAGAATATTACAACTTGAAAAGCAATGGAAAACATTAGATTTCATTTCCTTTATCAGACTGTATTACCAGGCTTAGATTCAATAGCTTCACAAAGATAAGTGAGGATCTCCAATTTCACAGTGGAAAGCAATCCCCATTCTAGCTGGTAGCATCTAGTTTCTATTTTAAATGAGGCTGGACTATCCAAAACAGTTCATCCACTGTGACATAAAACTTCCTAATAAATTTCACTATCTATAAAATGTTGATTAGTCATGGAGCATTCTGTAATAAAATCTCATAAACCCCACAAAATTGCACCCTGCTGCTTTACATTGTACTTACAGGAAACAAGAAGCCCAATGTACAACTTCATGCTTTATTATTGCCACATTGGGAATTACAGAAAATTTCTTTTGCAATCATTTCAAGGAAACATCTGAACATCTCCTGTGCTTGTATGTTATTGTAACATTTTAAAAGTACCAATAACCATCAGAAGGCAATCCAGATGACCAGCTACGATTCTTTATTTTGGGAAAGGTAATGCTTTGGTAAAGACGCCTATCTATAAACATGGATACCTCCAGCAATATATAATACGCTTTCATACAGAGACATTGTCTAACCATATTGGAATTCCTGCACTCTAAAAGCCACTAAAGCTATCTTGAAAGCCATACTATATTGTACAAACTTACATACCCCTTTAAGTAACCAAAGACAAAATTTGAGTATTCTTTATACATGGTGTATATATTGTATTAACATCCAGAAGCAGTAGTTTGTAATCCAAAGGCATCCAGATTCATAACTTCAGTATTAGAATGATACTGAATGTGGTGTTGTTTTCAGAAGCATTTCTACCAGCTATTGGTAGACACAGAGTAGAGGTACCTAGTCACATCTAATTGTGTGCTTTTACACTGAGGTATGTTTCGTTTTCCACTGCAGTCAACAGAGTCAAGAATGATCCAGCTCATCTTTAAAGACGCTTCCATTTGGTTCAAGACGCCATACCTCAACTCTACTGACTGTCTTGACTACATTACCATTGACTACAGCAGGAGTCTAGACACTACCTCAGATATAGGCACAGGACTAGGAGAGCTGAATAGCTCCAGCTCATTCTCAAGCCAGTAGCTACCAGTATGAAGCAACTGCAATGACCTGCTTCATTGCTGGTGCAGCACGCTGGCAGCTACTGGCTGCACCATAGAGATGCCACTGCTTTCAGTCCCGAATCTGCAAACATTTCTGCCAGCAAATTACCTCATGCAGATGTTTCAAAAGGCTCAACAATACTTCCCTTATGAATGAGTTACTCATGTGTGAATCACTTACACACTCATGAGCAGCTACAAATAAGGCCTCAGACGTACCATCATCAGAAACAGAAAGCGTATTTTTAAAATGATGCATATTCTAATACAGAATAATTCTTATAAACAACACTCATTCCTTAAGGCAAGTACAGTTATCTAATTAAACTGGTAATTAGGATTGTACATACAGCTTGTACATCCTTCCTTGTGTGTAGAATAAACATATCCATGCATATACTTTGCAAACCATCATTTCCATTTCAAGGCTATGAAGAGATAGATGGAAATGCCAAGTCCCTCTCGCCCACATGAAGTGAGTTACTCCACTTGTGAAATGGGCTGTTGTTTTAAAACAGCTGCTCAGGGAATAATTATTTAATCTGCAGAAATTTTATAAAAATAATATTTTTAAATCTCTCCTCACTGGTTTTCTGTACTATTTGATTTTACACATAAACAAACTAGTAAAGGCCAAGGTGACCCCAAATTTTCATTGGTTTGCCAGATGAATGCTTGCAGCACTCTCTGGTACACACTTTTTTAAAATTACTAGAAATTTCAGAAAACCAGAGGGTACTAAAGGCTCCACTGTATTTATAGTCTGTTAAAACCAAAAGAATACTTTAAAAAAAGTAGATAAAATGTTTAAAAAATTATTTTTCTGGGTTTTACAGAGATGAGCAGCAGAAGGAAAACAACAGAACTAAGTGATTTTGAACTCTGTAACCAAAAGATTTAATTATGTGGCCCAAAGTAATCTGATCACTCTATTTGAAAAGTTAACTTTTGTTCCCTCTTATCACTACTGTTCTTAAAAATACCATGATGAACAACAGAGATTGGGTCATAAAATATAATACATTTACTAATGGTATCTCTTGATCTCAAAAAGTGATTTCAAACTGTAAGTCAAAAAAGAATACAGGTTTTCCACCAGTTTAAGTTCAATTCTGGAGGGTCCTAAGCTCCTTCAGCTTGTTATTTATCATTAATAATCATTACCTCATAAAAATGAAGCCATCAATGAGAGCCATGAGATCACATATCAGTTACCTACAGCAACTGTGTTCTTGTAACTCTGATGTCTCACCCTTCTCCATACCCACACACCTCCAAATGGAAGAACCTCAGCAGGGCTGTGCGAGTGCAAGGGGGTGTAAGGAAGATTCAGCTGGATTTCTGCCGACTCATGAATGTTTTGGGGCCCTTCTACCATCTCACTAGTTGGAATCAGAGGGCATAGCCACTGGGTGCAATGCTGTAGGATACTGAAGACTGCAAGGGCTATACATAAGCAAGACAACCACCAATTTCTGTCTTAGCATACACAGACTCCCTCCAGATATTAAAGATACCAGTACAAAAGGGCTATTCTTCCTTACCGTCTTAACATAAAAGCTGCATTAACTATCTGCTACTGTGATGCCACACCTAAAAGTACAAGTTTTAAGCTCATTAATCTTATTATTCATACTAAAGTTTTACCTTGGCAATAAGAAAAATCTTATAAAAAACCCACCCCTAATCAGCACACACTTAACAGAGAATTTTCCATCCGGGATAACAAATAAACAATGTCTTCATTTTTATTAACCCTTGAGAATTGAAGTAAAAGAAACAGGATATTATTTTAGAGGTCAATTTAACTGATTTGACAGTGTGAATCCTAAAGGGTTTTCATCTTCTCTTGAAAACTTATTTGCTCATGTCAAGTTGGCTGGGATTCTGATGGAGAGCTCACTTGCGAGGCTGGTGGATGTGCTGTTTGACATGCTGTGGGGGAGGAAGCTTTTCCACAGAAGGATGTGGTTTCTGATGAGCCACCTGAGCCGCTGCTGGAGGGAAGTCCTTATCACCCTGTTCAAAGAACACACAGGGAAAAATTTAATCTTAAAAGTGTACTTTCCGGTTTAAATGTGTGTATGTTTTTAGAACTGTGGAAAGCAGATGGAAAACAATGTTGCATGTTACTCTATTTATTACCTAGACATGAAATTTCTATACATATTTGGGAGCTATTAAGACTCAGAAAATTATAAAACAATTTTGCTCTTCATAGGTTAATACACTAACTTGTAGCTGACAGCATCCTAAGGATAAATACAGCACTCTGTTAGGTAATTGATTATCTGAAGAAGAGCTGAGTTACAAAATTAAGACAGTATTTCCTTCCCATTTTGAATCTTTTGGATGCCCACTAAACTGGCAGCCTGTGCTTTTTATGTGTGACATTTTGTGAGTCACTCATAAAAAATACCACTATCCTACAACTGTTAAAGTGTTATCAAAGTTACTAAACATTAAGGCAACAATTAGTTCCAAGTAATCAGGCACGTAAATGCTTAAATAGGTATCCACCTTGGTGCAGATGGAGGTCCAGGAAAAACAGCACTGCCGGTCTACTACCCCTTTGGGCTAGGGAAAATGGCATCAGCTCGCTCTTTCCACTTACGCGATCTGATGCAACCACAGCATGTTACAGTAAACCATACTGTACACCTCAGTGATGTACGGCTATCATTATAAAGGTGACCATCATATAAAGCCATGATAAAAACCCTGTCACAACACACATGGCATGAATTACTGATCATGAAATTAATGGCTAGTTAACGCTAATTATTTAGCTTATGTATTTCCAGGTCCTGGAAAACCAGGGAATAACATCTTGAATCCCATGTACCTCAAGGCACAAATGGCAGCTGAAACACGTATCTTCAAGCCCATATCCTTACAGGCAGGAATGTTACTCCTCATCACAGATCAAGCTATAGCAGTAGACTTAACATGCAATTGCTTTCGCAGGAAATGAATACAGTAATGACTAGTTAGGTATGAAAATAAGATCCAATAAACTTAAAGTGCTAAAATTCAGAATAGAACAATGGAAGTAATTTCAATAAATAATTTCAATTTCACACAAAAGCAAAAAGAATGCTCAAAGGGACTTGCAAACAAACAAAACATTAAACCTCTTCTGATAAAAGAGGAAGGGGAATGCAAAGGATTAATTATGCCCTCATCAACGATAATTCTGGAAAGCCTACAGTAATTTTCCTCTCCTTTAAAGATGTTTAATGATAATCTTACCCTAGCAATGACACCAGAGATGAACACCGTTGGCTTAGGTGGGCTAAAAAAAAAAAAAAAAAGAGGGGTTATTTGTATAAATTATTTAGAAGGTGAAAATGAAAAGTACATCACATATACAATGGAAAAAAAAAGTGCCATTTTTGACAATTAATGAATGATTCAAATAGACAAATTTCCCCTTCAAATGACCACTGCCTTAATAGTTTTTAATGCAGCAAGAAAAGACCTACCATTTTTGGCTGCTATTGCTTCACATTAATTGTGACAGCAGTTAAAGGCTAGTCCAGCAACACTATGTTCCTTACTTAAAGCTGAGAGTCTTTGTTTGTTTGAATTGGTTTCTTAATCCTCAAATTTTGTCGATAAGCTGCCAGGAGTACTTTAGGCTCAGTGTGTTTGTATTGCAACACTGAAAACTACTTGGACTAAACTTACTGCTGTGATGGAGAATAAAATAAAATTCAAGTTTATATCTGTCAATCAAACGGATTAAGATTTTGAGTCTCAGAAAAAAAACAACACCCAGTATCAGAGATTTTTCAAGCGGGTATTTATCTATTACACAAGAAAATCAAGTCTACAACAAAACAAACACTAAAAAGCATAAAGCAAAGCGCACCCTGCTTTTTCATTTGTAGACCTTCATCCATGCCAGTAAGAACAGACACTCCATTTTGAAGAAGGGGAAAATGGATGACCCGGGGAATTACAGACCAGTCAGTGTCACCTCTGTGCCTGGCAAAATCTTGGAGCAGATTCTCCTGGAAGGCATGCTAAGGCACATGAAAATCAACAAGGTGCTTGGTGACAGCCAGCATGGCTTCACTAAGGGGAAATCCTGCCTAACCAATTTGGTGGCCTTCTATGATGGGGCTACAGAACTGATGGGAAGGGGTAGAGCAGTTGATGTCATCTACCTGGAATTGTGTAAAGCGCTTGACGCTGTCCCACATGACATCCTTGTCTCTAAATTGGAGAGACATCAATTTGATGGATGGACCACTCAGTGGATAAAGAACTGGCTGGATGGCCGCACACAAAGAGTTGTGGTCAATGGCTCAATGTCCGTCTGGAGACCAGTAACGAGTGGTGTCCCTCAGGGATCGGTGTTGGGACCGGTCTTGTTCAACATCTTTGTCGCTGACATGGACAGTGGGATTGAGTGTGCCCTCAGCAAGTTTGCCAATGACACCAAGCTGTGTGGTTCGGTTGATACGCTGGAGGGAAGGAATGCCATCCAGAGGGACCTTGACACGCTTGTGAGGTGGGCTGATGCCAACCTCATGAAGTTTAACCATGCCAAATGCAAGGTCCTACAGCTGGGTCAGAGCAATCCCAGGCACAGCTACAGGTTGGGCAGAGAAGAGATTCAGAGCAGCCCTGCAGAGAAGGACTTGGGGGTGTTGGTCGATGAGAAACTGAACATGAGCCGGCTTCAGTGTGCGCTTGCAGCCCAGAAAGCCAACTGTATCCTGGGCTGCATCAAAAGCAGCGTGACCAGCAGGTCGAAGGAGGTGATCCTGCCCCTCTACTCTGCTCTTGTGAGACCTCACCTGGAGTATTGTGTGCAGTTCTGGTGTCCTCAACATAAAAAGGACATGGAACTGTTGGAACGAGTCCAGAGGAGGGCCATGAGGATGATCAGGGGACTGGAGCACCTCCTGCATGAAGACAGGCTGAGAAAGCTGGGGCTGTTCAGCCTGGAGAAGAGAAGGCTGCGTGGAGACCTCATAGCAGCCTTCCAGTATCTGAAGGGGGCCTACAAGGATGCTGGGGAGGGACTCTTCATTAGGGACTGTAGTGATAGGACAAGGGGTAACGGGTTAAAACTTAAACAGGGGAAGTTTAGATTGGATATAAGGAGAAAGTTCTTTACTGTGTGGGTGGTGAGGCACTGGAATGGGCTGCCCAGGGAGGTTGTGAATGCTCCATCCCTGGCAGTGTTCAAGGCCAGAGGCTTGGGTGTCACAGTTTAATGTAAGGTGTCCCTGTCCATGGCAGGGGATATGGAACTAGATGATCTTAAGGTCCTTTCCAACCCTAGCTATTCTATGATTCTATGATTAGCAGACTCAATCAGTATCCCTGGGCCACCAACCTACTGAGCTGACCAACACTACATGAAGGCCAAGGAGAAGCCAAGTCCAGCAGTCCAGCCCTGGGGGTGGGCATTTTCACAGTGTCTAAACGATAAATAATCAGCAACTGCAGTGGTCTCCTGGGCAAGAAAATCCATACATGTGCATGGAGTCTGCAGAAGGATCAAGATCAGGAACTGCAGAAAATCTCCTCAACAGAGGTTAATACTTCTGTAAGAAAACCACATAATCTGAGGCATTGCAAAGCGAAGGTGAGTGCAGAGATGAAGTTGTGCCTCCCTTTGAGCATGTTCGTAACTGAGGACTCTAAGCAGGTGGCTCATTAACTTGCACCATCAGAAGGGTCCCTGCCCTGTGATGTTATAGCTAATCAGGTTGGAACAACACAAAGCAAACACAAATCAAATTATTTATTAGAGGAATAATACTGATTATTATGATGCACTTTACAACTACACAGCTTGTAAAGATTTATTAATATGATGTTACGTGATGTTAAGGTAACAAGCAGCACAGTATTAGAACTTGATATAATGGTCTAATAAATATTGCCTGAGCCCTGTTTAAGTCACAGTATTGCTACACAGTCTCTGAACACCCTTGTTACTTTAGAACACTCATCATCCCTTCTAGAGATTTTTAAAGTCAGACAGACAGAATTAGAAAAAGGGAGAAAAGGACGTTCTGCTCTGGAATACCTCCATTAAAGAGCACCAGTAATATTTCGTGTTACAAGAAAGAATATTTTGATAGCTGTATTAGACATCATCAATCCAATTTTCTATCAGTATAAACTAATAACAAGTGAAGATCAATAGCCAAACACTTTCATTTTATCCAAACTATACTAAGCTAATTCATATGTTACCATCTGCATGAGATTTCCTGGATGCTGAGTAACAAACTCAGAGAAATAACTGACTGGGGAAAGACAGATGTACTGCAGTGGCTCAAGGTACCATTCATAAACTAACACCATGACATTATAAAGGAAATGAACAGTAAATGGGAAAAAAAAAATGTGGCAAGTTATTCTTCAACTACTTTCTGCACGGAATCTGGCTTTAGTCACATCCACAGAAACAGTTATTTCTTTGACAGTGCATTAACAACAATATTGGATACTGTGAAATTCAAATCAGATAGATTTTTTTCTTATATTCTTACCACGACCTTTCAGTGTTCACTATGCTCAGATGATGCATGAAATTCAAATCAACATTTCCCAGAGAGCCTGTATTTGCTGAACGTGCTACAGCTTGTCTGCCCATCACCACACTGTGTTATCTGCAGTGTGTTTCATACTTCTTGCTTTAAAACCAAGGTAAATGCCCCCTGGTTTTGGCCTAAAATGACAACTGGAAGGAATCTCTTGCATAATGGTTGTTTCAAAAACAGCTTTCCCTGCTGCAAATTGCATACATCTTCTCAGAAACCCTGGTCTCCTCTTTGAAATGTCATGCTATTAATATTCAAAGGACCCAAACCTTAAAGTACGAAGTTCTCCAGGTACACAACAGAGCTGGATACAGTGGCCTAAGGTTCAAGCCGAACATTTTAAGGAAGCACAGGGGCCATTCACAGACAGGTAGGTAATGGGAAACCAGAGTTGGAAAAATGTGTCTACATCCAGACGCAGCTGGAACAGATTGGTCCTTACTTTCACCCTTATTTGTCTTCTTGATGGGTTTTTGACTAGACTTTTCTTGCCTTATGCTAGATTTCCAAAACATAAGAACTAAGGTAATGTTGACTTGGCTTCTAGCTCAAGCACCCCTACCCTCCATCCACAAAAATCTTTTATATAAATCCCATCATTCATTTCTGGCTGACTTCAGTTCCCACACTCAGCTGCAGGCACACACTGTAATGAGACTTCACCTCTCAAATGATTACAAAGGCAAAATGCTTCGCTCTTATGGAAGACACATCAGCCTATTAGGAAGCTCATTTTCATGCATTAATTATTCCCCAGCAAGGGAAAAAAAAAGATAGAAAGCTGATAGAAATGTGAATGATTGTGTCTTAATATTTATGTTCTAGATAAAAAAACACTGGCTTCCCGCCCCCCCCCTTTTAATCAGATTACACTGTCCCAAAAAAGATCTTCAAAAATTTAATATTACCAATTATCTTCGATGATCTATAGAACCAGAATCAGACTAGAGCATACAGAGTCACTGTACATCTATACTAATGAGGAGGAATTCAACGGATCAGAGAAAGGCCTGGATAATCAGTCACTGATTCACATTTTAATTTCACTCTTAACGAGAGAAATCTTTCTACAGATGAACTTCTTCGCAATAAATTTAACTTCTACTGCCAGCCTCTCAAACCACTGGCTTTTGCAGACCCAGATTAGCTTCCAGGATCGTAACTCTGCAATTGCACTCTGGAACATCTACTGGCATAGCAGTGTTGCAACATCACTCATTATCTTCCCCAAGAACCTATTGAAAATAGAAAAAAAAATGGAGACTATGCACAGGCTAGCATCACTACATTTGTAAAACACTTCAAGTGCTTTAAATTCTATTGGTGCTTTATGCAAAGCACAACCTACATTTCCAGTATTTTGTAAATTGTTACAGTTGCTTTGAGGATATACTTAATCTGATGAAAATTGGTTTGACAGATGTTGTTTTGAAGATGCAGCATTCCTTTGTCTAGGCATCACTAAACAAAAAAAGCCAAAAAATATATTACTTTTTGAGAAAAACTGGCTCTGTTTATATATATGTATGTGCTTTACAGCAATTTAATGCACACATTTATTTAAAGTTAAATAATAGCCACAGCTGATATTGTGTAAGGAATACAATGGCATGTTTGCCAAGACTGCTTAGTGAGTGTCAATACTTGCAAATTCTTGTATTTGTAACATATGGAGAAAAAGAACACATCTGCTTGTTAAGATCTGAGTGCTCAAAGAACCTAC